ACACACATTCTATTTGGCACTGAAATTGTATAAATAATTACACTGTCATGAGTAAAGTTTCATTTTGTGAACACAGCTGAATTAAATTAGGCATATAACTGCATCAATTGAACTTTCTTGTGTCCTAAGAAGAGCTAAGAAGCTTACCACACTTTGAATTAGTCTAAGTCTTAACATCATCTTGTCTCTCAGTGAGCTAATCCAGCTTCTTCTGAGGACGGCTCGGAACTGCGTGCACCAGGAAGCTTTATAGCTGAAACAAGAATGTCATGCTCAGTACATTTAATTGTTTAAATCAATAAAATATAGTTCATAGGAGAGAATCAACTACAACTAAAGGAAACAACATTAGCTCCAGAAATATTTTATGACAATTCCATTTTCAATGGTTTTCAGGTTCATAATTAATACAATGAATATAATTATTGTTACAATGAATGCTCCTTACGGTCTGTGAGTAAAAACTTCATCTTCACTAAATGAGCTCTGAAATATCAAAAATTTGAATCATAAATAATTAAATTATATAAATATGTATTCAAACATTAAATAATCATGTGCATTATAATTCATGAAAATTGGATGTGAGTCAACTAAAATTGTTTACCTGTGTGCCATCATCTTCTTTCTCAGTTTTTTCAGCAAAAGCATCACAAATGCTCTAAAAAAGAACATGAAAATATCAAGCAACTGAATATAGGMAAATGATTTTCAGTTTTCCCAATATACGCCAACAAATATAATACTTGAATGTACATTTTCCAGCACAGACTAGGGTTGGAGATCTAATAATAGGTTTCATAGATGCTGTGGTTGTCATCTGCCGTTGTACTTAATTGAGAGTTATATAAGTCAGAAATAGTTTTATTAGATCACTTCATAATTAACATTACTCTTACTAACCTTTGCTCGTGTTCTGCTCTTGTCCTCCTGACCTGGAACAATTGCAAGAAGTTGTACAAAATAGTCAGCTGGATTGAAGTTTGGTGGACATGAGTAACCAASACTGGAAAAAATCAAAATAATTTGGTTATAAAGTATATAATTTTAATAATTAATATTCTTAAAAAACTCTTAAATTTCTGAAGTAACATGCCATATAGTATGCCCCAATTGCATATAATACAGCAATCGTCATCATATCTGCTGATACATGTCTGTTATAGCTATAGCAACTTTACCTGTCAAAATATGGTAATGCATCTGAGGAAGAACCAAGAAATGCAACCCTGCCCTCTGCCATGTACATAACACTGCATGGAAAGAAAAAAGGTTATTTTGGACCTCTCCTAGTCAGGGCTATATATCTGCAAGGCTGGGCAGCATTGCTTTGATTTCTGTGTATAGAAAAAATGCTAGAGAGACAGTCAGTTGTCTTGGGCAGTTGTACCAGTGCTGCAATTCCACCTTCCTAAACCTCTTGGTTGCTTCCCAGAACTCTTTGTTGATGTGGGTGACTTCTCTGAGACATCCCTGAATTACAGCTTTGTGTGGTCAGTGCCCCTTTAGTTGGACACCTTCAGATTTCCATAGAGGAGCTATATCTTTGAGATTCATGACCATCCGTCATGCAGTACACACAGCAAAGTCTGCATGCATATCTGAGGTTAGTGTGCAWGGTTGGAATGTCACTTTGCTTTCTGATTAAAGGCGTATTAAATCTATAYAGAACTAAGATAACTGATCCATCATGAGTGACTGCAGGCTCTGCTGGTGTGTGTTGCAACACTGCATCATCAAGGAACACCATGTCCCACAGTCTGGCCTGATGCTCAGGTAGTTTTTGCTTGTTATACTGTGTGGTTCCATATGTGTGCCTCAGGAAAGATTTCCAAATGCAGTTGATATTTCTCACCTTGAAAACATGGCGTAAACCTCAGAAGAAGGTTGATGAATGGTACACACGATAGTTCTTCCTTGAGATGCAAGTTTTTGTAGTGTAGAAACAACATTCTGTGCCATGAAGGAGTCAAGACCTGAAGTTGGTTCATCAGCAAATAGAATAGCAGGGTCTGTCAACACCTGAATGGACAGTACAGAGTGATTATTTTCTTAATATTACTGTAAGGAATTTAGTACTAATGAAATATAGACCTCTGATGCAAATGACAATCTCTTCTTCTCCCCTCCAGATATTCCTCTCATTCGTCCAGGAATGCCTATCATTGTGTTAGCACACTTCATCAATCCAAGCTGCAAGAACATTTAAAAATACAAGGGACTAGTGAGAAAATAGCATTCATGATGGTCGAGGAGTCGAGGAGAGCATTCCAATGAAGTGATTTTATACCAAATAAATACAATTTTAAATTTTCAAACCTCGTGAAGGGCTTTTTCTACTTTATCCAATCTCTCTTCCTTGGAAACATGTTTTTCCATTCTAAGAAGAGCCTGTAAATGAAGTAATCAGAGAACGCAGTACAGTTACTAATCCACAGTAGACTTTGATAGGAAACAGCCTGGAAGTCATTACCTGGAAAGTCAAGTGTTCTCTGACAGTAAGTGTACCAATGAACAAATCCTCTTGTTGGATGTAAGCCGAGATAGAGTTGATGTTAATTCCTACAGGAGTATTATTGACCATCACTGTACCCATAACTTGAACACTTCCAATATTACGGTGTGCAAGGACATTCATTAATGTGGTYTTTCCTGCTCCRCTGTATAAATATTTGAAATGAGAATGTTACAATACTTTGTCCGATTTGCTTGACCACAAGCATTGAAGAAAACAAGCTGTATTTTAGCCAGTTGTATAAAGGGTTAGGTTGTTAATATACAATAACCACTGGACAGGGTTTTATCCATTAATGGCAACGTTCACCCAACTTTCGGGCCGCGTAGCGTCTTTTACGCATATACGCTCGTGCGTACTAGTGGGCAAGGAACTTTCAAATTTTCACAAAAATCACTGAAAAATTAACATAAAATTGATTCCTTTTATGTGCCCACGATGTCTCTCAAAACGCTGGACTATCGCATTTCCAAGAGTTATTATTTCAAAATTTGCGGTCGTTAGACCACTAGATCCAAAATATGTGCCACGGTCTTGACATGTGCGTACTTGACAAAACGTTACGCTACGCGCCTGCCTTATGAAGCTCTTTGCAATTACCTGGCACCCATGACTGCTAGAAGAGTTCCAGGTTCAACTGTGCCATTCGCTTAAAGTCAATAAATAATCAATATTAATTTTCATCATATGACATTAAATGTCATCAGTATCATAATTGCTATATACAATCATCAAGATCTTAGTCAATCTCGCAAACTGACACACCCAGTAGGGGGCTTTACTCTACAAAAGTCGTAGTTTTTTTAAAAGTGGCCGAAAAGATAGAGGGTAAACATTGACTTGGGAGTTATCACCTCATTTGTTAATAGACCCAGTGTCAGCTCAATACCGTTACACCTGGAAGGTCAAGGTGTCCCCCTTTAAAATTTGTGGGTGTTCATCATAACTAATAATTAAGGCACTGCCTAAAGCAAAAAAACACTGTTGGCTTGATACACTTACCATCAAAGAGAATCTGTTTAATGCTCGGCTCATTTTCCTCACCGCCCTTGCAGCAAAGTCTTTTACAAATTGAGCCGCGGTTAATTGGTGCAAATACATTGATTCCTTTCCAAGAGAGAGTGGATCTTTTTAAATTTTCCCCGCCACTGGCTAGTGCTCCAACAGCAGGGTTAGCTGTGTCATCAGCTGTATTTAAACAAATCCATCATGAGTTAGGATTTTAAGAGATACTTTAATGTAAACTCAAATAATGACAACAAACTGCAGCAAGTATATATGTACACCCAGGGGGTACTCCCCTATATTTGCTATTTGGGTATGTGCCGCATGATAGGGTCCCTTTTTCGGAGCTCCAAGTTTGCGATAGGGTATCATTTTTTGCCCATTTGTCTAGGATAGCGTAGTCTTTTTGTCTGGGATATGGTAGTAGTTTTGTCTTGGATAGGGTAGTTTTTTGTAGGATAGGGTATAGTATCATTATCTGGGGTAGGGATCTGGGGTAGGGTGGAGTTTTGCATGTGATAGTATCTGCTAGGCCACACTTTCAGCGCTAAAATAATGTACCTTTGTACCTTTAGTCTGGGGTAGGGTATGTAAAATCACAAAAATTGGTCTGGGATAGGGTAAGGGTTTTGAGAGAGTCGTGCGTCAAACTTTATATGAAGGGTTTTCTTATATGCTGTGTTTTTGAAGTGTAGTGCAGCTCGAGTGATATGATTTGTTTTTTTTCAATCAGTTTACGAACTTATGGCTATTCAAAAGCAGCTTCCAAGTCAAATTAGCGCTCACTCAACCGCGTTACAGCTAGAAAKTAGGAATAAATACAGCAAACGTGTTTGAGATTTACAGAAAAGGATCGTCTTTTGTTCAGTAATTAGTGTTTCACGCTTTGAAGATGAAGCACCTCGAAGTTTTTCTGAAATTTGTTTTGACTGTTTTGGCTGTCAAACCGGAAAGAATTATTAGAAGCTCCGCCCAGAGTTTTTCTCTTCGAAATCTCCGTCCGTAAGCTGGTCGCGATGCAATGGCTTTTTGCTAATAAGAGAGACGTTGTGTAAGCGTTTTGATCTTTTCGGATTTGAGTAGCTAATGCCTTCATGTAYTGAAAGAACAAGTGAATTGGTATATCATAACTTTGTTTTGAGCTCCTTTGTTGAAGTATGAAATCCACATTGTTCTTTTGATTATTCTTTATGCTCTTGATTTGCAGTTTTGCAGAATCAATTCCAGTGCTTTTCTTCCAATCACTGTTAAGCGGATTAAGGTTTATTGATAAAAATATAAGCTTATTAGTTCAGAGAAAGGAGAAAAAGAAAAGAGAATCTCCAAAACATCAAAAAGAAAAAAAGAAAAAAATGTCCTGTCTCAAGCTGGACTCGAACAGCGGTGCTCCCTATAAAAGTACTAAAACACGCCAAGTTTATTAAAGTGTCACCGTGGCACAATCGGTTAAGGCGCTTTGCGTACAATTCAGAGGTCGCGCGTTCGAAACCTAGTGGGAACGACACGGCTAAAAAACCGCTGCGCATGCGCGGAGCTTAAAAAGTACGGTAAAAATGGCCTTGTTCTCTTTGAAATTCCCATCAAGATAATTTCTGCATATCTTCTTGCCATTGAGATGGTTTTAGACGCTCAATATTTCATGAATCGCAAAATATTTAGCAATAAACAGAGGTCTTCTCTCGAAAATCGAAAGAAACTTGCCGACTGACAGCAGGTGATATTTTTGCCAAATACCTTATATTAAGCTCCTATGTGCAGATATAAGGATTTTGATGGTCTTAAAATGTTTTTAAGGATTTTTCCCAAAAAATATCAAAAATGACTTTTTTTTAATTCATATGACTTTTTTTTATCCTCGCTTAAAGTTCGAGTACTGTCAACATTTCATATTTCTAAACGATCAAATATAGTCTTCGTTCATCTATCAGGTCTTTTGAGTAAGCTTATAATTATTTCAAAACTTCATACTTACTTACTTGTGGTCTTGAATTCTATGTATTTGATATCCATTTAGGTTATATACTAATAAAGGTATGCATATAAAACAAGCTACTTCTTGCTTTTTGGTGCTAGTAGTTGTCTAATTTCTGCAGAATTTATGGCTCTTTTGTGGGGTCGGTACATAAAACATGGACCGAGGGTCCATGGACCACCATCGTGGACCTATCTATGGACCAATTTTCGTGGACCACCCTAAAATATAAATATATATATATTTTTTCATGTTTTTTATTTTAAAGCAATTGCCATGAGCTTGTACTTTGATGTTTGTACGAAGAAACTCGTGTTTACAATTTCACAAGCCGCTATTTTGTCAATACTAGTGCCCAGTCTCTCAATTGGGCTTCCTATGTATAATACCAGTAACATGGATACAGATTTTTTCATAAAGAATCCAAGCATTTTTCAAGGACTTTTTAAGGATTAACATTCAATTTTCAAGAACTTCGCTACCTAAAGTGTAATACTCATTTTTCGCATGTTAACATGTGCACAAAAACAAGGTAGGATCCACCATATTCGACAAAACTAAAAACAAGCATCCCAAAACGATTGAATTCTTGTCATTTTGTTCCAAAGSTTGTCTAAATTGAYCCCTAAAACATTACTTTACAACAACCAAGACTGATTCAAGGACTAAATTGTCATTTYCAAGGACRTTTCTTCCAAATTCAAGGACCTTTCAAGGAAAATTAGTAATCAAGGACTTTTGGAGTTTTGTAATAATCAAGGAGTGCATAGTCTACATAGATCAAGGACCTTTCAAGACTGTACRAGCCATGTGTAACCAATAGTCATTGGAACTGAGTACTTTACTGTCCTGTTGAAGGGACTCAGGGAGAGTAACTGGAAACTTTTGCAACGATGATTTTCCCTTTATTTACTTCAATTGCATATGGTTCTAATATCAACAAAGCCAAGTCATATGCAGAATAGTTCTCAATATCAACATGACAACAGAAAAGTGTGTTATCGATTCAGAAAAGCCTAGTCATWTACTGATGGTGCTAGACTCAGTAAAACATCCAATCTTTAACAATATCAACATGTCAKTGGACATGTAAAATAGCAGTTGTACACCAAATACAATTTAGTAGCTCCTATTTCTATTAGCTTTGCTTTCAAGCACTCTATTTGATTGTTATATGACAATAACAAATGTTTTTTGATATTTCACAGTTCAACTGACTTTATGCACTCTATAAACTGGTATAAGTGCTTTAAAATAACAAACATGAAAAAATATATATMTATATTTTAGGGTGGTCCACGAAAATTGGTCCATGGACCAGTCCATGGATAGGTCCACGATGGCGGTCCATGGACCCCCGGTTCATGTTTTGTACTGACTCCTCTTTTGTGTGTATTTTTTASCATGGAGCAAATTTATCATAGAGCAGGCTGGAGAGCTACAAGATATGACACCAAGAGATGACCAAGATATAATGGGTTGTAGGGGAAAACTGAAATGGTTTTACAACAAAGCTATCTTTTATGGTTTTGACACTGTTTGCCTTTGTTACTTACACTACAACAAAATAGTAATTAAGTTATGTTGTTATCCATTTAAAAGTGAAATATGTTCAAAAACCTCACAACTTGAATGTCTTGGAATCACTTTAAGTAGAAGACAAGCCTACATTTGCACTAAGCACTTAA